GATTCACTATCAAAGTCTAAATCGGGTATAAAGTCACTTCCGGGGTAATTTACACGATCGGTTGAGTCTCTTTTTGTGATTGTCACTATTTGCACTGCACTAACTGTCCTAGTGTTCACTTAGTGTTCAGTTTTTATACTTCACTAGTCTCCCCGCACTTCCGTAATTGGATTTCACTCTGCAGTCCTTTATATCCCACTTCTTGGCACCAATGTCGCGGCTTTGGGTTGCCTGCTGACAAAAATCTTGGGTTCGTCGTTCGTTTCGTTTATTCCAAAAATCAAAGTCCATTAACACAGCAATAATTTATTCCACTTAACAATACACTCTGACACTAATTACTTTAATAACTCACTCAACAATTAAACTTTACAACTCGATAATCACTATTTAACTCGTATCACAGTCAAACTTTAACTTAAACTACAAAGCAATAGCGGTCTTTTATATATCCCTAAATCTATTCCTGTAAAATCTAGAATACACACGATAATCTTATTTTCCCGAATTAAGTAGAATAATTCGCTAGATTCTATAGTATACTCAACAGATAATACCGAGATATTCTTGACAGCCTGGCGAATCATCACACTAATTTACAATTAGGTATTACTATTCTATAAAGGTACATAAGAATTAGCTAGTTAGTAAGTTACATTCACATTATATAACAACAATCAAAGTTATATTATAACAAAAGTTAGTAACATTAAACAAACTTTTAATATAGTTATATAACCCAGAGGTTATAAGTAATGTAAAATATTTTTGTAAGAAATATCCTAAATGTGGGTACCTATTCTAATTCTATAATCGTTATATTGAGGGTTTGTTAAAATATTATATTTATGTTATAACGACAATATAAATAAGTTATATAGAACAGAATTTTTAACTAATAACAAACATTTTAAATGTTGTCGTTATATAACATAATAAGGAATAGGTACAATGAGCACGTGATGCGTTGCGTCCAATCCAAATTTGATCCACCAGTTCAGGTGCCAATATTATTTGATACGTATTGTTCATGTTCTTCATCTTCTGCAGGTAAAAGAGTGCTCTGCTTGGTTTGTTTTGTAATTTTTTCTGCATTTTTGTGAGAACCTTAATGGAAATATTATTTTTAGGTTATTATCCATATTTTATGGAAGTAGAATTTGGATCTATGCTTGCCTCCTTCATAAACAAAAATTTTTTCATATACTATTTGTTTTATTTCCATACCTATCTGTAGGTACCTATGACAAATAATGTTTGTTTTTTGTTTCAATTTTGATAATTCATTACCTCGAAACAGCTTTAGCACTATTCGTTTTTGAACCATATTTTTTAAAAAACTACTCGCATCTTAAAACTCTTGTATTTAAAGCAGGGATGGGCATCTACGCGTAAATAAAGATTGTCTACTTTCTGGTGTAAACAACGCGTAGACAATGTAAACTATGTAATCTATGTAGACAGCGTATAAAATATGTAGACAACGTGTAAAATAGGTATGTAGACAACGCGTAAAGTATACAATTTTTGCGAGTTATAGCGAAGTAAAACATGCTAGTCATTACTTTCGCTTGCTTATTCAAGATAAAAAAATGTATTTTCGTAGGGGCAAGAATGAAAAGTTTACTAAATTACACGCTGCAAAAGCCCTTTCAGTTGCTCGGAGGTATTCAAATAGCCTTGGCTGCGCTTCGCTTCGCCTCGGCTGTTTAAATTCACGTCGCACCTGAAAATACGCTTTCTCAGCTTGGAATGTAAACAACTGTTTGTCCCAATGACATGTTTGTCCCCCTATCAAAAGTGAGGTTATGTGTATGACGTTAGTTAGTGCCTAATTGAAGATAGTTATTGATGATATAAGTGTTAAAAGTACAGTACAGAACACATAAGGCACGAATGTGAAAGTTCGCTTCGCTCATTCTGCAATTCACATAAGTGCCTCAAAAATACTTTTAACACAAAAATCATACAATATTTTTTCTACAAACGGCAATAACCATTTACAAATTGAATTTTTAGAATGAATGATAAATTGAAACATCTTTCCTATATAAAATTTTCGTTAGTTGACATTTTTCAATAAAGCCAAACAGCCATTGTTGGCTTGGTTTCACCTTGGTTTTTTTACAGGTAGTTTGAAATAACCTGTCAGTTTCTTGAAAGTATGTCGTGGTCGTGGTCAGTAGTGTTTTTTGCTGAAAATGCAAAAAACGGAGAGTGGTAGACTAGGTGCGGAAGGAATAAATTTGAAAAGTTATTTAAATTTCATTATCAATATTAATGTAAATAAATAAAATACAAACTTTTTTTGACAATTGCTTTTACAATTTGATATTTCATTTTCAACACCAGTGCTATAAAGACTTTATAAATTCTGAACCTGCTTTATGGATCATGTCCTTTAACTATCTTCAACTGTTCCGGAAATATTGACAGTTGAAAATTGACTTTTTTGCCAATTTGACAGGCTGTAAAACCTTAACGGTTAATTTTAGAGCAAAACCGATCATATATTCTTGTCTAAGTTTTCCATAAACTATCATTTGACACCACCTTTGAATTTAATCCGCCTATAAAAATTCCGCTTAAATTTAATCTCCGGTTTAATTCAAAGTTTGTGTTGTAGTATAACATACCCGGGTTCCTTCAGCAAGATGAACGGTTAGAATTTTTATTACCTCTTCTTATAACAAATCTTCTGAAACACGGAATGAAAAACAAATAGGACCTACGTTGTGGAAACTTACTGTGTCATTTTAATAATAATTGTAAGTCAATAACAATATAAATTAGGTACCGTTCCTATTCTTGTGCTAATATTTTAATTCCACACACTACATTCAATCAACACTACCTATATTCAATACTGAAGAGTTTTTGGTTAGTTAGCCAGTCTGCCAGCAGGTACTGAGGACCTATTTGGGAAGCTACTCAGCTATAGTTGTTATTTCGAGCCAATATCACTAGATTGATTATTTCAAATTGTTTGCTAGGATATTCGCTCGTCAGGGTAGGAAAGTGTTAGTAGATTCAACAAGGCCCTAATGTACGCTCCGAATACCAAAAATCAAAATCCCAGCACAAAAGACAGCACATAATTTCTTAGGTTTTAATTTACTTTATATCTGCGTTGTTCGCAGCATGGAACGATTTTTGTTAAATACATGAACAATACACGACATGTTATAAAAAATGTTATGAACAAACAAAAAAACATGAAAATTGAGAAAAATAATACGTGTATAAATTGAACTCTCAAAAAAAAAAACATTTATTCAACTGACCTGTGAATGCTCCTTATGACACACAAACTAATCATAAATTCGATTGAACAATCAGTTTAATACAAAATAAAAATTGAATAATGAACAATGGCGAACAACTTCTTCCCTGGTCTCTCATTTTCTGTCTATCTACCCTTTCGGTACGCTTTTCGTGACGGCGTCCTCGTTCTCCCCTAAATTTCATAGCGCATACCCTGCAACATTTATCATTTGCATTTCTATAGTAGACGTTTTAAAAAGTTAGGATTTGAAAAAATAATATTTTAAATAGGCGATTTTCCTCAGTGTCTAATGATAGCTTATGAAAAGCTAAAGATGAGAATGTAGAATTAAACATTTAGGTTTTATACAGCCTTTCAACTGTCAATATTTCCGAAACAGTTGAAGATAAGTATAGGACATGATACATTAAATAGGTTCAGAATTTAACGTAGAATTTGAAATTGAAATAAAAAATTGGTGTTTTCATTTAAAAAAATTAAGCTAGATGTCATAACTTCTTTTTGGATCACCCTATATACATGATATTATCATCCAAAAAACGGCCACTAAAATCGAAATATCAACCCTGTATATTTTATGGATTTTATTCCAACCTTCATGTGCTCACTGTATAACTATTCCATTGCGTCTTAGTAACGTTGAGTGGGAAATAGTAACAGAACCATTACAGATTTGTTATGCACTGGTAATATTACTTGTTACAGACAAAGTTAGGAAAATATATATTATATAAAATATAATATTTATGTAATGGTGTAATGGTAATATAACGATGTTTGCTGGGCAGTGGGGTCATTCGTCACTATCTCCTGAGAAATACCAGATCCCGCGTTTGTAATCGGGATTCAATGGCGGATCATCGGGGGGGGGGGGGGGGGGGGGGGCAGGGGGCGTGCGCCTGAGAGCCTCAAAAACTACTAAAATTTAAAAAAAAAATCATAGATAGAAAAATTTTATAAAAGAATTTTCCAATAAAAGTTTATGGAAAAATTTTCCAATAAAATGTTATTGGAAATTTTTCCAAGCTACACTATTGTTCAATTTAATGTTTTGCTTTTATCAGATAAATCTGTTAGGTATATTTTTATTTGGAATAGGTATTTTCATTTGTTATTTTCGGTTTTTTGATATGCGATCTAGATTTCATGGAATTTCAGCGTCGGCAGAGTGGGGGGTTCATTTTTTTGTATCTGGCTTAGAAATTGACGTTTCATATCAAAAGTGTCCAAATTGAACCACCCTGTACCTACATTCTTTAACGTATAAATAAAATAAAAATAAATTTTCAGGAAATCATTGTTGATAATTCTAAGCCTGCGCCCCCCCTGAAGAAAATTCTGGATCCGCCACTGTTGGGTTTGTATAGTTGAAAACCGACCCTCAAGAATAATTATACTTATCAGACCCTATTTAAATACAATGCATCAATCTTGAATTTCTGTTGAAAGTATTTTCTTCTGCTGAACTTTTGAACCCAAACTTTCTAGAATTTGTCTTATTGTCACGAATTCAAAACCAAAATAATTTTGGAAATATTTAATTACATCATACCCCATTATACATTAATTTGTTTACATAATTAAAATTATCAAAGAAAAAATATTATTTACACTAACGCATCAAATTTCGGTCTAAATTATTAGTCACTGGAATTTAGGTTTTGTAATAATGGTAATAGTAATGATGTGGATATTTGCTTTTTATTAGGTATCAATTTTCCGCATGAAATGATGCTATACGCCCCTTGACGTGATAATTAAATTCTTCAAATTTAAAACACAATAAATGTTTAATTAGTCAGTAGAAATGGCTACTTAGTGTAACATTCGGTTCAACCTAAATATTTAATATTTAATTTTGTAACGTAATGGATCATACTATTGTGCTTATTTTATTTGGGGTTCAAATAATAACAGGTAGGTACCTATAAATAATCATGTCTGTTTTATAATGTCAAGCCTACACTTAAAAGTGTCAGCATGCATTTATTATAGTTAAGTAGTTTATTGATGTGTTGACATGACAAGAATTATTAACGAGATAATTATTATTATTATTATATTAGTTATTATTCCTGTGGAAGAAATTACTCAAAACTAGATAAATTTCATGGTTGAAGAAATAAATAAAATTAATTTTTACTATGTATAAGCTTTCAGTACCTATATTAAACAAGTAATAAGATGTTTCACTGCATAGTGTGAATTTTGCATGAAAACTCATCCCCCTCCAAATTATAGTTGACATATTTCGGGGATTTTTTCTGAAATTTTCCATTTTTGAGATAATAGGGAAGGGAAATTATTTTCAAATTGACACCCTTTATATTACACTGTACCTACCTGGGTACCTATAGGTATATTTTCATTTTAAAATTCACGACTTTTTCAAATTATAGTTTCATTGCACGTCACTGTCATATAAACTTAGATGCAAATAATTATACATCAAGGAAAATTAAAAAAAAAAGTTAATTTAATTACAAACCGACAAACCTAATCGGAAGCTCAATATGCAGCCTGTAATTGGAATAAATAAAAATTCTTCCAAGTAACTACCTGCATTCGTTGATTTTCCTCGTTACAAAATGATTTTTGCATTTATTATCACTGCTGCTTTAACCTGTATATTTTCATTTGAAGCTAAAGAACTCACCTATCGCTTATCCAGAGATGTCATCCCGAAACATTATTCCCTAAAACTCCAGCCAGATATTGACGCTGAAACTTTCCGAGGAGAAGTCACCATAACCATTTATAGTACTGCAGAGAAAGAACGAATTATTTTACATAGTTTGAATCTTAATATCACTTTTGCTGAGATCAATCAGCATCCAGCTAAAGTAGAAGAGTTAGAAGATGCTAGAATAGCTGTGAGCTTTATTAATAGAGGCCATATACAGCCCGGTGAACATTTAATTCGATTCAAATATCATGGAAGGCTTTATGAACAGTTTGGGTTGAGAAAAGCTTCGTATAAGTATAATTCCCATAAGGGGTAAGTAAATTTTCAATTTTATATCATTTTGGTTGCTTAATTAATCATTCCTCTTGCTTTCGTTTTAACATGCCTCTAGTTGAAAATTAAGTTTTGAGTTTTAGAGCCTGTAACATTTTATATTAGTTAGGTACCTAGTAACTTAACTTTAAATTATAGAAAATTCCAGAAGCCGTCATGTCGGGACGAGTTAGGCCATCCGTTCACGGTTCGATCGGCAATGTGGTCGACGCGATTCCACGCGTACGCGTCCCTCCGCTCGACTTCCTATGCAATGTGAGTCAACGCACACGGATCGTTCAAATCTCGTAATTGCTAGTCTCGTGCGATCAGACAGGAAGCGCATTATTCGAGAAAATCCAATCGCGTGAGATATACAAATCTTTGGTCATTCTATAAAATTCACGAAATTTTGCGTCACCCTCTTGCATTTCTCGTGCACCAACAAACAACCGAGTGTGAAAATTTCGTTCAATGTTCGGATGTACCCATAATCTGCGTTTTGTTCTTAGGTTTCTCTCAAAGTGGAAGCGTTGACATGCGAATTGTAGAACGCGCGTAAACAAACGACTCCGCGCGAACGATCTAAGCTACTTGTTTTCAATGCAAGCGCAAGCGCTCATAGTAGCTGCAGATTTGTTCGCGCGTTTGCATGCGTACATTTGCGACTTGCGAACAGATCCCGTTTGGTTGGGATACTTGCGTTTGTTCGCAGTTTTCTTGCACGATTCCTCTGGAAAAGAACTGAAAACAATGGACACTGAAAAGCTAATTGTAACTAACTACTTTAAAATTATTTATTTAACGATAAGGGAGCAGGGACGGTACAGTCATGTAGCTCAATGCTGGTTGTAATTTTGAAAATCCTCGTCTCGTCTCGGTCCTCCGATGCTCAGTCGCCGCACATTCACCACGCATGTGCATGGCGATATATTGGCTGATCACACTTTCCGCTATTAAAAACTAATTTTACAAAATACTGGCGACAGTGCCCATGAGTCTTTTAGAAACAATTTGCAAGTTATACAATCCACATGTTATTACGCAATAACTCATACAACAATAAAAACTATACAAAAATACGACTCATATACAGGCTACGCAATTGATGTAATTACACAATAACTTATACCATAATACGTACGTAATTTTTCGGGTGGACCTACGGCCCAAACACGATTCTTTACTATTTGGTTTTGGAGATTTTGCAAAGTTTTCTGGATAGCATGGCTGGTCATCACTAATCCTATTATCTACATTTACACTGACACTTACTCTACGTCCCTTGTCAAAACACCAGAGCACGGGTCAAAATTTGAATTACCTGAAATACAACTACTGGTATTAGTATTGGAAATATCAGAAAGAGTGTCCTGAGAATCACGCCCCTCAGAAGACCGGTCTACCCCTATGCTGATGCTATCCGAAGAGGAGGAAATGACCCCCAAAGGCTGCATTGATCGGCAAATTCACGAAATAATCATAGTTCAACTCAACTCACTACTTTTATGAAATTGAGGTTTATTTTTGTTTACTTGAAACTTTTTATCGGATTCATTAAGTTCTTAGCTTGGTGTTGGGCAGTTTTAAAAGAATTAATTTTTGGGACCCGACCTTGTTCACCAGTACCACCAAAATCCCGATCCAGAGGGGTCGGATTTGGTTTGTACGTCGCTTCCAGGCCTGACCCATTGGTAGGGTGCATAAATACGTAGTTTGTCTAATTCGTTTTTCCACTGTGACTGAAGTCCAACTCTCCTTGATATGGTTTCTATAATCCTTGATCAGCACCCTTTCCCCCCTTCAAATTCTCTTTTTCAGCCTCCATAATTTCTTATTTTTCTGTTTATTTGTGTTTGTGTGTTTGGGTTTACTATTTCGGTTGGAGGTTCTCTACAAGGTTGGCTGTCTTTTATTTGTGATAGAATTGTTCTGGATTCTCTTCCATACATTAGAAGGAAGGATAACACAGTGTAGTTTTCGTCCAGGAATATGTTAATGAAAAGTCGGTTTTCGGCTAATTTGGACTTTATTTAACAAAATATCTAAATCAACAGTCAACGTTTCGACACATTCCGCATCTAGGTAATGTATTTTGTAAAAAACAATACAACGTTTTAATTAGTCAAATTGATTGGTTCTATGTTGTCTGGATTGATAGTTTTTCAAAAATATAATTTAGGAAACTCATTCTGCTTATCTTTTATTTTGTATTAGTCATTTTTTAAACTTTTTTGAATGTTAATTTATTTTTTATAAGTCATTTTTAAACTTTTGTAGGTAAATGCTTTTTTAAATGTTAATTTATTTTGTACTAGCTAATGACCCGCTGCGTTGCCAGTGTGAAAATACATTTTGAAATAATACACTTTTTTTCAAATTTTGTTGTTGATTTTCTATTTAAATTTCTTTTTTTTTTTATCCGATACCAGAGTCGCTTGCCAGTGAGTTCAGTGACGCATTTTAAGCACTCCAGAGCTGTTCTAGAGCGCCCCGGGCTGTTTATAGGCGTTCCAGTGTATCAGAGTTTCGCGCATCCGAACTTTTTTTTTCGGGATAAAAAAATAGCTTATAGCACTCTCCTCTTTAGCCGAATTCGATTGACCGGATTAGATCGATCTGGTTCAATTTAAGTGAACCACACTGTGTTCGATTGAGGCTGGATCAGTGCACCCTCATCAACAAAAAAATTATCTAGATCAGAAGAAGTTCACTTAAATTGAACCCAAATCGATCTAATCTTGGTCAATCGAATTCAGCTTATATAGAGATACGTGGTATTAAATTCAAGATCGGTCCAGCCGTTCTCGAATTCAAAAAATAATAAAGTTACGTCGGTTGCATGGCAAGCCTAAATAAATAAAATATGGCAACGTTGTTTCATGCTGTCAAAAAAAAGTTGGGTTATGTTGTTATGTAATGTGAATGAGTTTGTTTACAATTAAATTAATAATTAATTCAAAATTAATTTCTTTTTCCGAGATGCGTAACCTATCCACAAACCTTCCTTGGGATGGCCATAACAATCTACCAAAGTTTCATCGTAATCGGATAAGTGGTGTAGGAGCGCATACCCGGATACCCCGTGAACATTGATTTTTATATATATAGATAGATTAGTCATTTTTTTTTGAATGTTAAACGTTGTGAAATGCTTGTACCGTTCATTGCATGTTTTCTTTTAGCCTTGAGAATGACGCGGAATACGTCTAAACGTTGGCTGTTGATTTAGATATTTTATTAAATAAAGTCCAAATAAGTCGAAAACCGACTTTTCATTATTAGAAGGAAGGGTGTTTTGCCAGTTGTTGAGTGTGAAATTGTTCTAGAAATTAAAGTTTGAATTGGAAGTTTTGAGTTTCTTGGGTCATCAAGTGCTGCCTTAATTTTTCCTTTGAAAGTTTTCACGGCATTTTCGGCAGCACCGTTGCTTTTTGGGTGATATGGTGGCATTAAAATGTGCTTAATGCCGTTTTTCGTGAAAAACTGTTTCAGGCTTTTTGATGTTAGTTGTGGTCCATTATCACTGACTATACAGTTTGGTGTTCCAAACTTTGCGAAAGTTTTTCTTAGTTTTTCCTCAGTTTCGTAAGCTGAAATTTGTTTCATCTGGAAACATTCCACCCATTTAGTGTACGAGTCTAAGATGACGAGATACATCTTTCCTTAATGGAGTCAAGTCTGTTTTAGGTGGGTTTTGTTTATTTACCAAGCAAGGAAAACATGCTCTTGCCAAATTTTCAATGTCATCATCAATCTTTGGCCAGTATACTAAGGATCTAGCAAGAGCTTTCATCTTACAAATACCCATATGGCCAGAATGAATTATTTCTAATATTTTTGGTCTCAAATTTTGTGGTATTGTTATTCTATGACCCCATAGTAGGATGTTGTTTTCTATGGATAACTGGTTTCTTCTATTTTAATATGGCAGAATATTGTCATCTATGTTTTTAGAACATTTATTGTTCTTCACATTTTCTATGATTCTTGTAAGATCAGGATCTTTTTCTGTTTCACTTCCGCATTGTCAATAGGCTATTTTTTTTCAGATTCGGTGAAATTTATGAAGAACCCTTTGTCTTCGGAAACCTGTGGGCCTTCCTTGGGGCTTCTGCTGAAATAATCTGCAAGTTGGTTTTCTGAACCTTTTATATATTGAATTTGATAGCTAAACATTGAAAGAAAAGCAGCCCAACGTTGAAGGCGATTTGCTGACATTTGGGGTACTTCTTTGTTTTCACCAAAAAGAGCTACCAAACATTTGCAATCAGTTCTTAAAATAAATTCAACACCGCACAAATATTGATATAAGCGTTTGACGGTATAATAAATTGCAAGTGCTTCTTTCTCCACTGTAACCATGGTTCGTTTTTCACAATCAGATAGAGTTCTGGAAATGCAAGTCACGGTTTTTTCTTGGCCGTCTTTGATCTGTGATAAAACCCCAGAAATACCCACATTAGAGGCATCACGAGTAACAATTATTGGCAAATCTGGGTCAAAATGCATTAATACGTTATCATATGAGATAATCTTCTCTATTTCCCTAAAAGCTGTGTCACATTTAGTTGACCATTGAAATTTTGTATTATTTTTGAGGAGGTTGTAAATTGGATGTAACAAGGTGGATAACTTTGGTATAAATTTAGAATAATGTTTGACCATTCCAGCAAACGATCTTACCTCGGACACATTCTTCGGTTTTGGTGCTTCTACAATTGCTTTAATTTTGTCGCTTGTTTTCTTAATGCCTTCTTTGCTTATTTTATGACCTAAATAATTTACTTCTCTCTGAAAGAAATGACATTTTTCTTTTCTCAATGTGAAACCTGCTTCTGTCAACCTTTTGAAGACCAACTCCAAGTTTTTCAGGTGTTTCTCTATGGTTTCTCTAGTGATGATTAGGTCGTCCAAAGATAAATATACTCCATCAATACCCTGTATGAGCTGGTCCATTATACGTTGAAAAAATATTTTGTAGCCATTTTAATTCCAAATGGCAATCTCTTGTGGCGAAAAAGCCCCAATTGGGTATTCCAGGTTAAGATTCCTGAGGTTTCTTCGTCCACTTCTATCTGGTTGTATGCTGATCTGATGTCAATTTTAGAAAAATACTCTCCTCCATTCAACTTGGCAAAAACTTCCTCTATTCTCGGTAATGGATAGATGACCTCTTCTAAGAATCTATTTATTGTTCTTTTATAGTCACCGCATAATCTAATACTTCCATCTTCTTTCAATACTGGAACTAACGGAGTCGCCCAGTTACTATTTTCCATTCTTTTCAGAATACCTGTTGCGGAAATAACCCACAACAAGTTTAAATTTTGTTATTTCTAATTTATTATAATTTTCCTCTCTATTATTTACCATAATAATTATATTCTAAAAATAGATGCCTGTAAAACCGGCAACAACAACCCTTTGAACCAATAAAATTACAGGTTTCTTCATTACCTTATAAGGCAGTGAGCCCCTCGCGGCTGTGATTGGTCAGCCGCCACACAAAATCCCTAGTTTTTTGCGACCTGCTCCCTGGCAGAGCTAGTCGACGCACATTCGTCAGTACTATTAGAATAAGCAAAGACTTCGCACCCTCGCGGCCTCTGAATTCTTTCCAGAGGCAAAACCCCCAAAAAACCCCCGTTAGTACGCGCGATTTATAATTAAATACTATACTCTCTGTGTCTCAAAGCCTGACATGTTCTATATTATTGATTACAATTCATGTAATTAACCCCTAATTCTTGCAAGTCACCTCGAACGAGCAAAATTCTCTCCTACGCGATTGTCTTTTGGTTCTTTCTCACTCTCGACGGGCTCCAACGCATCTGTATATCCTTGTGTTTTCTTTTCATCTGAGTGGAAAATTCCCTAACTGCCAGTGTGAATAGTGGTGATAAATGGATAAAGAATCGCCTTGTGGATTTATCTGCATGAATCAGATTAAGCAAGTAAGACCGTTACAATTTCTCTAACAGTCGAACAATAAATACTGATTAGTGATTCGCTTGAAATGCACTCTAAATTGAAGTGTTTTCTAACGTTTAATGCAGAAATTTGGTTTTCACACTCATGAAATAAGCATTTGTACATTTGTATATAGAAACTGAGCATATAAAAAGACTTTTCTTGCACATATTGCTTACAGACTTCAGCAGAAAAGTGCTCAAATTATTAACTCTCAATAAATAAGAGAACTTTCAAGGGTCAATAAACATTTTGTGATTACAGTGAACTGATTGAAATTGACGAATTATTTATGTTGTGCTCTCGTGCATTCAATCGTGCATTTAACTAGTTAATTTGTGTTTTCGTTCACTTAACATTTAACCATAAATGATATTATTATCATTATCAGATTTCCCTACCTTTTATAAATCAAGATACTCATTTACTTTAGATTAGTATAAAATTTGCAGTTCGACTGGACGTCCAATTAGGAATTTTCAGATAGGATTTGATTACTGACTATACCGAATTACTTTCATTTATTAAATAAATTGATAATTATTCTATTTCAGCGGTTTATTTGTATAAATGAGAATCAAGGCACCCCTAACCCAATACAAGGCTCAAATGATCCAACACCTAATGGTTAATTTCTACAGTCAGTCAAAGTAAAAACTTTTGGCATCCCTGGTGCGGTTTGACTAAAGCCCAAAAAGGGGCAGTAGCTAGTTCCGTCACAATACCCTCTTTACCCATTTCATTCATCTCCTGGTCCACGAGACTTCGGTAGGCCAAGGGAACAGGTCGGAATTTACAAAAAGTTGGTTTATAGTTTTCTTTCAATTCGACATGAATTCTACCATATTTATGTTTACCAAGTTTATCAGAAAAAAGTTCATTATTGCACTGAATAACCAATCGGCCACACTTAAATCTCCAAACACTGGGTTTTATATTAAATTGTTTTTTTTTTTTTTTAAAGTTCACATAGTTTAAGAAATATTTTTGTTTTAGGTAATTCAGGAATAGTTAGATCTTTAAGAAGTTTGTAAGTATCAGGGCCAATACTACTTAATAAAATAGCGGTTTTAATTTTTTCATCACTTATTTGATTGGTTGTGAAGTGTTGCTCCATTCTCTCTGCATAAATCTCCCAATCATCTGTGTTTGCGCTGAACTCGTAGAATTTTGGCACAGGAACCATTGTGGAATTCATACCGGAAGCCATTTCTCTTTTTTCTTGTTCTGATTTTCCCACGTTTCTTCTTTTCTTCTTTTAACCATATATCCTCGTCGCCATGTAATATATTGAGGTGCAATTAAACGATTGATCGATGATCACTTTAAACTTATTTATTTAACGATAAGGGAGCAGGGCGGGTACAGTCATGTAGCTCATTGCTGGTTGTAATCTTAAAAATCCTCGCCTCGTCTCGATCCTCCGATGCTCAGTCACCACGCATGTGCATGGCGATATATTAATAACTATACAGACTGTCGGAATCATTATACAGGATGTCACTCTAATTGATTTAGTTCGAGAGCGGAAATATTGATGGGATCAGCGAGAACCTGAAAAACTTTTCTTCGTTGTTCCTTAAATCATTCCAAAGATGTTGAAATTCACCAAATTTCTTTCTTTTTCTGAGTATTTCATTCACCTGCACCTTCCTTCTTCTTTTATGGATTATTTTTCATCTTAGGGAAGTATTTTCTAGCAAGTATAAATCACGACCAGACATTTTAACTGTTTGTATGTATCAAGTTGTTCGCACCTTTCTATTGCAGTCAGTGTGCAAACTCAACGCATATACACGCAAGATCACAAATGCCGGCGGTTCCGCGCGTTTTTTTTATTCCTGCGTATAAGCATCTACTGTGAGAGAAGCCGTCGTCCTTTGGATGCGTTTTCGTCCGAATTTCATTCGTCAGAAATCGGACGGAAAACTGCGAATGATCCTATTTCAGTGAACCCTAATGATGATCGTACATTGTAGTCGAAATTATTCGTGCGAATTCGGATGAAAACATGCGATTGCGATTGATCCGAAAAAAATGGGATTTTTCGCAGTAGTTTTGACGATTTGTGTTTGCCGACTGTATTGTACTCTACTACGTTAAGACTGACTTCGCAACGTAAAAACTTGTCTAGTAGACGATATCACGTATGCGACATCTGCGAAATTGTTCTTCCGATTTGTGACGAATGCAATTCGAACGAAAACGCATCCAAAGAACAATAGCCGCCGATAATATCACCGAAACATAACAATGTCTGCCTCATCACTACTCGAACTGCTTAGTTGTGACTAAGATCACGACGTCAGAAGACGCGAGAAGGAAAAAAAAGGTCTAGTTTGAAAGACGCAAATCGACTAAAGAAAAAACGACCCGTGTACGGATGGCAGACATGTCCGACATGAATCGTACGAACGAGCATCTTGTATAGGCGATTACAATCGCGTCGACTACATCGCCGATCGACCCGTGTGCGGACGGCCTTAATTGCGAATTCGACAGTGACGAGTTGATAATTGGACAGTTGGTTGATAATTTATAGTAGAATAGTTTTTTGAACAATTGGGATTAATTCAAATACCTATCGTGTTGTTTTAAATCAAGTTTTGAGTTAGGAATTATTTGCGAACCCTCACACATTAAAAGAAAACAATACTTATCTGTCACTCTTCAAAATACTTTTTTTAAAGCACTTATAGTGCCCAATAATTCTGGTTCATTTCTATACTGTATTACCTATCTCCACCTCCGATGATTAGAGTAAAAAAAATTTGTTAATTACATTCAGGGATCAATATCACTGATAAAAAATTTAAAGAAACAATTTCCAGGCATTTAATAGTCAATGAATTTGAAGCACATCACGCCAGAAAAGCCTTTCCGTGCTTTGACGAACCAAATTTCAAAGCCCGTTTCAATGTCCGCCTGATTACACCTAATGATTCCTACATAGCTCTATCTAACATGCCAGAAATTGTGAGCCTAATTTACTTTGCAATTTTTTAATATATTTTTATACAACTTTTAGGGTCGCTACCCTTTTTCAGAAGGTATACTATATGTTTTTGCTACCACAGTAAAAATGTCAACCTATCTAGTATCTTTAGCAATAACAGATTATACATATTACGAGGAGATGTTTGTGCATAACAATAAAACTATACCTATAAGAGTGTATACATATAATGCCAGCAAAGAAAATAATCATGCTGCTATTGAAGCAGCTATGATTTCCATTAGGTACTATAATGATTATACTGGATTGGATTATCCTCTTCCGAAATTAGGTAGGTAAGTAATAACATAAAAGTTAGAATAACCCATCCTTAGCAAGTTTTTTTAATAGATATGATAGAATATGACAAGGGCAAAGTAACAGCAACAGAAACATGGGGCCTTATTCAATTTAAAGAAGGCCTACTCACTACGGATTTGGATATATACGATGCTTTCCAATGCCACCTAGTAATTTTCCATGAATTAGGGCATTTTTGGTTCGGAAACTTGGGTAAGCATACAATTCAACATTCTTCTCTTTATATAAGTATTGTATTGTTTAGTTACAAATGATTGGTGGAATGATTTATGGCTGCAAGAAGGATTTGCAACTTTTATGTCATATAAAATGATTGCCGAGAGAGAAGATGTCGGTGTAGGTATTTTTCAGATCGGAATCAGAAAGCTAGACAAAATACTGCACTGCTTTTCTAGATATCAAAATTATTCAGACTAATAGAAGTGATAGATATGGATACTCAGTTTCGCGAAGATAAACTACAGTTAGTTAGTTATTTACATTCCACAGACTATATGGAAAATGACAAACTTTTTGATGGAATAGTCTACACAAAAGTAGGTGTGAACATTTTATATTATAATAATATATATGTATGTTATATTCTAAACAAATTCCAACGTTGTATAGGGTGCCTACCTTCTGAGAATGTTAGAAGTCCTTGTAGGAGAAAAACTCTTTCAACAAATCGTCAGAAATTTTCTAAAAAATCACGAATTTGGAACTGTCACTACTAACGATTTAATCCAAGAATTTGAAGACCAAGTTCCTTATATGGACATACGTTCTTTTATGGAAAGTTACATCTACCAATATGGTCATCCAGTTTTAAATGTTGACGATAGTTCGGAAAAATATGTATTAAGTCAGATTCTGGCGAATAATTCAAGGTAGGTAATAATAGTTATTTATGTCAGTAGGACAAGAAGTGGGTCTTTTTGTGCTGAACTCGACGTTCGATACGAGCAAGCAAAGCACAATAAGACCTTCTGGGTCGAATGGCATATAGCATTTTATCTTCAAGCGATTGCAATATTACCTTTCACAACTATAATTTATAGGACTTTTCTTATTTTTTATTATTTATTTACTAAATATCAAAATGATAAAATGTCACTCCTATAACTAACTGCTAATAGATGGCGCCACGGCTCTGGTGTTCGGAGCGCTTCGTTTCTAAATAAATAACAGAACTTACTACCTATTTAAAATATAGACAAAAGCAAAATAAATATGGAAAGGACCCCGCATTAATCTTATGGAAAATGGCTTTCGGTGAAATTGTCTGAAATTTGGATATGTTGTTCTCCTAGACATTCTAAACAAAATTTATCATTGGCACAAAAAAATCCAACGAGCCATTTTCGAGTTATGATAGGTTAAAAAATATCAAATTCAAATTTTTCTTACTTAATAAAAATGTTGACATGCCATTTACAGCCTTAAGGCTTTTATGCATTATCGGTTAAGTCGCGTAGCCATGTCGCGCGACTAATAAATGGTTAGTCGCATTCTTAGTTTTTATACCAGGAATAGAGGAATAATAAACATTTTAACCAGATTTATAATATAAATATTATATAAGTTGCTACCTAATTGAAATTATATAATTTTAGTACCTATTTAAAAATCATCATCATCGTCATTATAGGCATTCACTCGCTAACGAGTATAAATCTTGGCAGCATCATCATCTGTGGGTTCTTTGATATTTAGGTATCAAAGAAGCCTATTCTGGACCCACAATTTCTCCCACACTGCACACCCAATCAGCGGTAGCTGCCAGCTGGTCGCTGTAGTAAACCAGCTATTGTCAGATTAGCAGGAAATAGACATATGTCTGGTTATCCTTCAGTTTTGATTAATCAGCCTGACAACCTTCACAATATCAATTAATAGGTATATCCCGAATTAAAAATACCTTTAATGTCTAGAATTTTTAAAATCAAATGAAAATGGGGCCTCCCAGTCGCCCATTGAGGATATTTTTTATCGTTTAAATTGCCCTCCTTTGCTGCATTGGCTAGTTGGGATCCTACATAATTTGTTTAGGAAGAGAAGAGACTGGCATGCGGGCGGATGACAGCGAAATTGGTTTCCTCAAAGCATAGAATCCTCAAAGATACTGTTTGTTTCGCGGGTTTTGAGTAATCTTCTTGAGCAGCGCTTCTAAACACCTCAGGTGCCCTCTATAGGTTGTCCAGGTTTAGCATCCTTAGAAAAGTGTTGGTATGACGATAGCATTGTAGACCGCGAGCTTAGTGTGGTCACTTTTGTCGTGGTCGTCAAACACCTTTTTCAAGGGACGTCCAAAAGCTGCGCTGGCACTCTGTTGAATTTCCGCGTCGGTATTTGCTCTGTGAAAAGATTACTACCGAGGTCTGGAAAGTATTCTATATTTTTTAGAGGTGCTCCATTGAAAATAATTACAGCTGGATCTGGTGCATTCGTATTTGAAGAACGCTGGTATGAATTTTTGTTTTTTCTGAGTTCTAGACGGATCCTTTCATATGCTCGCTAAAATAAACTTATGATCAGGTCCTTCACGGTATTTGCCAGGCCACCGTTATCATCCCTATATTGAAACTACCAAAAAGTTGTAAGGTATGGATACCTTGTCCTTGGCTTGAAATCTGCTTAGATTGAATAGCTTTCCATCAGTTCTATAGGTGATTTGATCGCCCAACGGCAGGTTTTCTTCTATCGGATTGAATACAGCTTCTACACATATAGAAAATAGCTGCCCGCAATGGCAATAACACATTTTTGCTTGATTCCGGCTGTGATTTAAAAGTTTCTCCGGGTTAATTGTTGGCATAGATTTATTATCCTCCTATAAGTTTCCAGAGTTCTTGGTCCAGATTTGCAGGTACAATAATCCCCTAAAATTGGCTCACTACGAAAGCGAGAAAATACGCGAATTCTCAAAAACCCAGCTTCATTTACTAAATTGTATGGTGCATAATGGCGTCTTGTACGGAGCAAGAAATACTTGGTAAATACCGACAGGTAAGTCTCACAGATCGTTTAGAGTAAGACGAGGAAAATTAGGCAAGTGGTTCGGATTTAATTTAATATGAACCCATCTACCGTGTCTGGCTCTTAGACTTTCTGCTTCTACTCTCTATTAATTTTCTCGCATAATATCTATTTAGAATAGCTGCAGCATTTCTGTAGTGTAGAGTGAAGGTAATAGAATATTGTCCAATAGCAAGAGGTGAAACCGATGAAGCTATTCTAGTAAAAAAGTTTTTTCCGGGCATAATGCCGTGGCCCATTAGTATTTCTACCTAACGTTTCGTCTACTGCTGCGGTAGACATCTTCCGAGGCGGTGTGGTAGAGGACGAAGTGTTCTCTTCCGTGTTCCTTCGATGACTTGATTCAACGTTATTGGACCTGCGTTATTTATATCCAGGGTTGTGGGCGTGGCTTGTATTAGGCTATTTTCCTTGTCTCGTTCTCGGAAAGGAAGGGTCTTTCTTTTTCGGAGAACTGGCAACCAGCTTTTGTTGAAGTTCGTGCCCTCTTCTTTTCTGTTGAAGTTGTTGTGGTGTTTCTGTATCTCTATGGCTTCTCTGTGGAGTCTAGTGTAAAAATGTTTGGTTCTATCCAATGCTTGAGTCTGGTCGAAACGAATGACATGGTTTATTTGTGTAAGCACATGTTCGGCGATTGCTGATCTATCTATTTGTCCCTGCTGACAGTTTCTTTTATGCTCTTTGACCCTGGTGTTGATAGAGCGTTTGGTTGTTCCTACATAAACAGATCCACAAGAGCAGGGAATTCTATAGACGCCAGGGCTGGAACTCTGTAACGGATAGAGATCGTTATTCCTATCGCTATGGCACTTGCTGTCGTCTTCTTTCTTTTCGAAATCAATAGAGAGAGGACGTCAATAGATATAGAGAAAATATCTTTATTCGTTATAGAGTCCCAGCCCAGCCGTTTCAAGAGGTGCCCTAGGATTTTTGGCCGATCTTAGACTTTGCTGAATTGTTCTTGGGAGCTTGTAGATAGGCTTAACGTTGTGTCTTTCTAGCGTTCGTCCTATGCGATCTGTGACATTTTTGATATAGGGTAGAAAGGCTCTCCTTGCCACCTGTGCTGGTTCCTTGTTATTTGTGCGCTGTTGCTTCGGTCTTATGGCTCTATTTATCTCCGGCTTGGAGTGTCCATTTCCTTCAAGTGCTGATTTTAGGTGTTGCATCTCGTCCTGAAGGTATCTGGGTTCACAAATCCGGATTGCCCTGTCAGATAGAGTTTTAATGACTCCTGTCTTTTGCCTAGGATGGTGATTAGATTCCTGATTGAGGTATTTGTCCGTATGCGTCGGCTTCCTATATACTCTGTGTCCCAGTTTACCTGAGGGTAATCTTTCTAAAAGGACGTCGGGGAATGCAATTTCGTTGTCCTTCTCAACTTCCATCGTAAACTGTATCCTGGGTTCTATTGAGTTTAGATGATTAAGGAATTTTTCAAGCTCTGCCTCTCCATGGTTCCAAACAACAAATGTGTCATCTACATAGCGAAACCAACAAGTAGGTTTCTATGTGGCTGTTCGCAGTGCCATTTGTTCGAAGTGTTCCATGTAGAAGTTGGCGATAACCGGGCTGAGTGGACTCCCCATTGCGACTCCATCTGTCTGCTCAAAGAATTCATTTTGCCATTGAAAGTACGTAGTCGTCAGACAGTGGTGAAATAAGTTGTTGATTTCCTCCGGAAAAACATCTTTCAGGTACTCTAAGGCCTGATACACTGGTACCTTAGTAAACAATGAGACGACATCAAAACTAACCAGAATGTCGTTTGGTAGTAGAGTGATGTCACTGATCTTTTTGATGAAATGAGTTGAGTCTTTAACATAAGAGCTGGATTGGCCAATCCGTGGCTGAAGGAGAGTGGTGAGGTATTTGGCTATGCTGCATGTGGGCGAATCTATTGCACTTATAATGGGCCAGAGTGGGTTGCCTGTTTTGTGAATCTTAGGAAGCCCATATAATTCTAAGTGGTAAGGCCTCAGATTTGATGAGTTTTTTTTATGTTTTCCGGGTCCAACGTTAGTGCTCGGACGAGTTGATTGGTTCTTCGCAATATAGAAGCAGTGGGATTGCGCTTCAGCTTTCTGTAGGTGGAGGGGTCTAGCAGTTCGGAAATTTTTGATTCATAGTCAGTCACGTTTATTATTACCGTTGCGTTTCCTTTATCCGCAGGCAAGACTAGTATGTTCTTGTCTGTATTCAGGCTGCGAATAGCTTTCCTTTCCTCGTATGTCAGGTTGCACTTTGAAGGTTTCGCAAGTCGTAAAATCCTAGAGGTTTCATTGCGTATTTCCTCCGCAGTGGTTTGAGGTCCTTAATCATCTAAACTCAATAGAACCCAGGATACAGTTTACGATGGAAGTTGAGGACAACAAAATTGCATTCCTCGACGTCCTCTTAGAAAGATTACCCTAAGGTAAAATGGGATAGAGAGAACTTCCACAGAAAAGAAGAGGGCATGAACCTCAACAAAAGCTGGTTGCCAGTTTTCCGAAAAACAAAGACCCTTCCTTTCCAAGAACGAGACAAGGAAAATAGCCTTATACAAGCCACGCCCACAACCCTGGATATAAATAACGCAGGTCCAACAACGTCGAATCCAGTCATCGGAGAAACACGGAAGAGAACACTTCGTCCTCTACCACAACGCCTCTGAAGATGACCACCGCAGCAGTAGACGAAACAATGGACCACGGCATTATAGCCTGGAATAAACTTTTTTACTAGATTTGACCGGCCGTGAAAGCCTTCATTCTTTATTGATGAAGCTATTGTTACTTCTTTGAGTTGTGTTTACTTGCAGGTCACATAATTTTTTTTTTTTTTCTATTTTCCTCTTTTTTTCCCTTTTTTCTTTTTTTTTTTTTTTTTTTTTTCTTTCTTTTTTTTCCCCTTTTTTTCCACTAGGCACTGTAATGTATCATACTTGCTGCACTATCCTTAATTTCCAAATCAAATCTGGTTTTAAGCGCGTTTATACTACTGGCAGTCACTGTGCTCTCCGTGTCAAAGCATTCCACGAATAAACGACACAATTTGCTAGGAAGTTGAAATATCCCTGACATGTCGCAATTGTAGTATCCACTTGTTATCTTAAAAGTCTTAATCAGATCTCCCCTGTGCCTTCTTTCTCTTAATATTGTTAATCGCCTAATCGGTATCTCTCCAGTCTCTCAGTCTCCTAATTCTCTCATTTCTGATGGTATCTCGGTTACCCTCTTGATAAAATATGGATTCCACACTGTGTAGGCATATATTCAAGTTTAGGCCTGATGAAGCTTTTGTACAGTTTGCCTTTCATTTCGACGCAGTACGCAGTCGTCTTTGAAAGCACGTTTAATCAGATAGAAAAATGTACTGGCTTTTTTGGCTATTTTCACAATGTGGTTTTCCCATTTCAAGTCGGATGTTGCTAGGACTCCGAGAGCAATCTGCTCAGTGACAGTTGTTAGTGCTGTGTTGTTCAGAGTATATTCTTCATAAGAATTGTTTGGGCCGATTCTAAGCACTGTGCATTTTGACTCGTTGAGTTTCATACCTCAAGTTCCAGTCCATACTTCAACATTATCAAGTCTGCTTTTAGTTATGCTACATTGAGGAGAGGGTTGGCATATAGTGTTCCGTCGCCCGCAAAACTTGACATTTTTGTTTCAATACAATCAACAAGATCAAAAAGGTATGTTATGAAGAGCAATGAGCCCAGAACCGATCCCTGGACAACCCCACTCCTCACAAGGTGTTGTATTGAAATTGTTCCATTGACTCGAACCTGGTAGTATCTTTGACACAGAAGATCTCTGCTGAGTGTCAACAGCTTTCCCCGTACTCCAAAATGCTCTAGTTTTTCAAGCAACAGGTTATGTGGCACTTTATCAAAAGCCTTCTCATAATCAAGATATATATACAATAATATCAGTGGGCTGAAGGTTATCATAGTTTTATGTCCAGTCATTAAGACTCTTCAATAGGTTGGTGACAGTGGAGCGTCTTGATAGAAACTCGTGCTGTTATGGTGGTATTAAATTGTTCTCAATGAAAAAAACTGTCAACTCCTCGACCATGACTTTTTCCGTGCACTTCAATGGGCTACATGTTAGACATGGTTCGATAACTTTCTGGTTTGTGTCTGTTGCCTTTTTTAAAGAGGGGAGTCACTATAGAGAGCTTCCATTTTTCTGGTATGCGTCCCGAGTGGACTCATTCCTGCATTACCCCAGAGAGTAGAGAACCAACCGATTCACTACAGTTTTGTAGGATATGCCATTAAGATAGTATCGTCATTCATTAAAAACTTAAAAGTTGATTTGAGGAACATCCAAGTTTACTCGATATATCGCGGCATATCGATGTTTTTAAATTCGATGTATCAGAATAACGATGTATCGATAATTCTTATCGATGTGGCCATCCCTACAATCAGTGCTGTGAAAATAACAAAACGTCGACAATGATATTTTTTTTTAAGCAAAATTTCAAGAAATGATGGGGCTGAGCATTAAGTTAGCCACGCCATAATGTTTAAACAAAAAATGGGATGTTAGAATGAAGTAGGAAAAAAAATATGTGCAGCACAATTCCGATTCTCAAGGAAAACATATTTTTTTTAAACGAAAATTCAAAAAAATGGGTGGCTGAGCGTCAAGTTAGCCCCGCCATAATGTTTATTCAAAAAATGGGATGATGGAATGAAGTATGAGGGAAAATATGTGCAGCGCAATTCAGAATTCCGATTCTCAAAGAAAACATTTTTTTTTTTTAATGAGAGTTCAAAAAAATGGGGGGGCTGAGCGTCAAGTTCGCCCCGCCATAATGTTTAAACAAAATATGGGATGATGTAATAAAGTAGGAGGGAAAATACGTGCAGCACAGTTCAGCACAATTCCAATTCTCAAGGAAAACATTTTTTTCAAATTCGAAATTCAATAAAATGGGGGGGCTGAGCGTCACAGCTGTACTTTTTTGTAAATAATTCAGTTACCAAAATAGCACAATTCCTAATATTGGCAGCACAATTCAGCACAATTCTAGCACAATTGATTTCTACCAAAAAAGTTATCAAATTCGGTTATGGGGGGCTAACTTGACGCAGCTGAGTTTCTATTCTATTCTTAGTTGCTTTATCCAATTTTGAAAATCAGTGAAATATCCCTTTACCGGATTAGTTTAAGCTAATTGGAGCAATATTTAGCGAGAAAATAAGTAGATTGATTTGAGCTGATTAGTGGGTACCTAGGTACAATAAATTAATTTTTTCTGAACTGCAACAATGATTTTAATACTGGTTATGACTTCTAAGAACATGTCAACACCGGACTTTTTATTTGAAATCAAGTTTTAAGAAAGGTACAGAGTATTCTATGGTAGATAATTAGGTTCACAATAGCCTATCGCCGAAATGGAGCAAGTAAATCAAATATAGCTGAACTTCATTGAAAATATCGACAAGGGACAAGCAGCGAAAGCCTGTAGACAGAAAGAAAAACTAGGACAACATGCCCAAAGACAGACAAAGGGCCAAGAAGAGGACGCCCAAAGACAGAGGAAAGAAAAAACACGAAGAGCAGCGGACAAGAAAAGTAGGTTCAAAGACAGAAAGGGAAGCAAGAAGAAGAAGTCCGAAAGCAAGACTAACAGGACCGACTTGCAGCACTTTTACAGCAACAAGATCAAAAGAAGAACAAGAAATCGAAGACCGAAGATACAAAGAAAGAAGGAGAGGAAGCGCGAACACAAAAAGAAAGGCGAGAGAAAGAAGCCCGAAGACAAGAAAAAAAGAACCAGCTTCAGAAAAATTTTAAATTTCAGCCATAATGTATTCAAGTCGTTATCTCTCTCTAGAAAATCTTGGAAGGGCCATTAAATAATAAATTCAAGAATGTCATACAAGATGAACACGAAGAAGTTACTGAAGAAGATGGGAGCCGTAAGGAATTTGGAAAATTTCACCAAGTAATGGATAGTGTTCAGAATTAAATTGAAAAGTTGGAATGTGGCTTGAGATCATTGAATGTTTTAGCTGGATGTATTTCGGTTTTTAGACAATGCAGAACTTTTTCTGAAGAATAACCTTTACCTGTTTTTTCACAAGATTTACAGTTGTCTAGTGAGCAGACCAACGACTGTTCTAATGTATCTTCTGTTCATGTCAAGAAGTTGCTGAGATGGATATGAAACTTTTTATCTGCCTCAGGCCATATGAATCGATCTCCAATGAGCTAGCGTTCTGTCTTCTTCCCATCTGTTCATGTTTTCAGAGACGCGACTTTCCATTGGTCCACAAAAAGGCTAGGGCCTTGAAAAGGTGTTAAAGCGCCTTGCTTTGCGAGACGGCCTGCCTTCTCGTCCCCCCTATGCCTTGATGTCCTCGCACCTACATCAGGGTTAATTTGTTTTCCCCAGCCAGTTGCTTAAGGATATTTCTACCCACCCAAACTAGCTGTGAATTGCACTTGATGGCTCCTAGAGCATTTTCAGCCGCTTGACTCTTGGGCAGTATGTGAATGTGCCTAAAAGGCCTCGTTTAAGGCACTCTTCGGCGCATATGTTTATGGTCAGTACCTCAGGTTGAATTATTGTGGGTGTCCTACCCACTGCTAAGGAGAATTTAAAGTTTGGTCCAGTTATTCCCAGACCGACTCCTTCCGTTTTCCATGATTGGAGATTTTTTACAACAACTTCATATGGAATGTCGAAGTTCAGTGATGTTATCATATCATCTGATGGTTTACTTTGGCCATTCAGATCAAGTTCAAATCTTGTTGTCTGGAATAGCCTATAGGAATCTATTCTTTTCTTTTTTTTTCACACATAGGTGATGAGGATGCATGTTCAGCAGTGCCTCTCAGGATGCGGTGGGGCAGATTGACATAGCCCCTGTTATTCCTAGAATGTAGTTTAATTCCTCATCAAATTGTAGACAATTTAGTTTTCTGATTTAAAATAATCTATTTTAGCAATAAATGGACAATACCAATTTCCTATGCCTATGCAAATAATACTACCGGATACATTTGGTTTGATAGGGAAGCTGAAACTAGTAACTTGATTGTTTAATGCTTTATAGAAACATGCATCTGAAATATTTTTTTTAGTAACATTGGATAAATCGGTAGATTCCGAATTCATGCTATTCAACTTAGGCTCAAAACCTGGAATATATATTGTTAATTATACTGACACGATGTTAAGAAATATTCTAGACAACATTGGCGTAAGTTTTATATTTTTATAATATGACATAAAATGTTCGTTAAAAAATAATTTCAGAATTTTCCGCTAGAAGATCTAGAAACCTTTGAAGACAACATGAAAGTTCTTTACCAAATGAAATACATCAATTGTGATACTGTGCTGGAGTTTTTTGGTGCGATGCAAAACCAAAGCACTTATAATAGTTTATTTTTTTATGCAGTGTTAGATGTTTTTCAAAGTATTTCTTGTTATAAACAGGAATACAGGGCACTAATCGTAAGTCGAATTTTTGAAAAATTTATCCAATAGCCCAGAGTTCATAAAAGTTTTTTGAAGGAACATCTTAATACCAAATACAAAATCAAAATCGACCTCTTTATTCCAGAATCCTATGGAAAATGTGATGAAAATAGTAAGTTACCTACCATGCTCTATTGATATACTTATGTTTTTTTTTTTAAGGAAACACAACGGATATATCTGATCTCCATTCACAGCAGTGCATACAATGGATAAGCAATAATTTACTAAATGCCAACGAAACACAAAACATTATGTAAATGGTTACAAAATATATTTTTTTGAATAGGTACCTATGAAGTTTTTAAAATAAAGCCTAATTCTATTCTTGTATAAGATTACTTATGCAATGTAGTTGTGGAACGAAATGCAGCACAGCTTCCGGAAAAAAGGGCTCGAAAATGTGATAGGTTAAAACAAAGAACAAACTTTTCAGTCGCTATTTAATCATAGAAACTAAAAATGTTATATGCAAATTATCAACAATAGGGGGCTTTTATTTCGAGTACATGCCATTTGCAGCGAAGTTTAAAACCCTTTTTTTATGTCGTGCCATTGTTTGTTCGTTTTTGTTTTCGAACACGAACCTTTTTCAAGTAGTATTTTTGGTAAAGGTAATTCGCAAAGTACTTTTATAAAAACGCCTGTCGAACTTTTGATAGAAATGAAATTTAAAAAAAATACCATTATAATGGAATAATTTCCCGGTAAATATAAATATAATCTAGTGGTCCTTTACTTGTATAATTTGTGTCTATATAATATTTCCTTCCATTCTTGTTTATAATGGTGACTGTATAAAAGGATCCAACCTCAAACCATGTCGGCTCTAAGTGTACCATACATTTGAGATGATACCCATTTACGTTGCGGATTTAACCATAGGCACGTTTCGGTGTACTCTCACCTCGTCAGTGCGTTGTAGGATCCACAACGGAACCCTGAACTAAATTACCAAGTCAATCCCAGCCGGATGCGTATTAATGTTATATGGGTACCGTTATACAGATGGATTCCATTCTATAACGTAGTATGATTTGTATCTGTGAAGCGCACGTATGTCTACTACAAATCATACTGCCATACAGATGAACGTCAATCTATAACCTAGGATATGAAGTTACAATACGCGCCTATTTCTACTCCAAATCATACCACGATACTAAATTAATGACTACTCAATCAATTAAAGTAATTTATCTTTATTTTTGATACGCTATTTTCAAGCTAACAAGGTAACATTACAATGTTTCAAAAAACAAAACTTAAACTTTAGAGGTGGTATATAAGGTGATTTTGGTTACTCTGATTCAATCCAATATTCGCTTCCAGATTTCTCAAACACCACCTTCGAATTTTAATGGCCTACCAGCCTGAATTCCTGCTGAATGTTGGCATCACATCTTTTGTTCCTTATTCGTCTGGGACAATTTTTAAATTCTGCTACTATGATGACACTTAAACACTTTCTTGTACTCAAACTTTTTCAGTGAATGGGTAAGTATATCGAACAATCCAGTTTGTTGTGGTGCCAACGCCGAAATTGCGAATTAAATCGTGACACCATTCACTATTTTTCTTATCTTTATGATGATCCTTGCTTCTCATAATAACACTGTAGTCATTGCAACTAACGTAATTATAACTTTCAATTACATCCTCTCTTTGGCATTCATATTTGGTTCTATCTCAAATTACGATTTCAGCGAAGTTTATATTAACACAGAAATATTGCAATAGGTAACTATAAATGCAGCGAACTAAAATGCACATGGTTGGCTTAACAACTGCCGCCAATTTTTGTTCACGTTGTTAGGAAATGGAGAGGCGGCGTTCTGCATTTTATTGTATACTGATGCGAAAACTGCGCGTATTGTAACTTCATATCCTACTATGGTATAGACTATAGAGTGATGTCCATCTGTATCGTGGTATGATTTGGAGTGAATATACGCGCGTTTCACCTATACAAATCATAATGCGGTACAGAATGACATTCATTTGTATAATGGTATAGAACGCCAACCGGATAGCGCATCAGCTTCAAGTACAGTATGGCACCATACGTTGCGCATCCGCAATGGAATTGGATGCGAAGTTGGTGCAATTTATAGATTGCAGTAGGACCAGTTTTCTCCGTGCAACAACATAAAACTGAAATTTTGTGATCTGAAAATGTTATAAGTATTAGCTTTGTTCGCGGGTCCGATTCCGAATCGGTTCAGGGACTATTCGCATGCGCAGTGTAAAAAATTGCGTTCGCGGATAATAAAATTCTGAATTTTTAGTAACAGTTCTACGTTCGCGGATCACATAGACTTGGTTTTAATTGATTCGGAATCGGTTCTAGCAGTCCCAGGATTTTTGTTAGGATTAAAAGTTCGGTTCGGCTGCTCATGCGCAATTTTGTCAGACTTGTTAGCTGACTGGTGTTTATTTGTGTTTGCGTTATGGAAATTTGGGTTTTTTATTTGTTCTTACGCTGAAACGCTAAACTATACGCTAGTTTTTTCCGACGGAGTTTATAGTTTACTGAATTTGCAGTACAGTATTATGTAAGTTACTTATCTCTATTTAATCTAATATATTTATTTATATGCACAATTTTAGTGATTTTTTGTTTCATCTAAGTACCTACTACTACTAGTCAGACCATTTGTCATCTAACGATGAGGACAAGGAAGAATTAGAGCTTATTTAAGTTCCTAAAAGCGATGTAATTTTGAGAAGGTGATGCCACATTTCAGGGATGAACAATGCATAGAGCATTTTCAAATTTTGAATAAATATAAATATTATATCTGTTCTGTTATTCTTTTTGATTTATGAAAATCAAATAGCCAAGGTTCACAAATCACATAATGTTTAAAAGTATCCGGTTTTCGATTCCAAAATCGTTCGCGGTAAAAAGAAATCCTGAACCGATTCTTAACTAGGCATGCGCTCTACGACAATCCCGAATTAGTTCTGAACCGATTCAGAATCGGACCCGCGAACAAAGCTATTATGTGAATTTTGTTGTTGCAACTGATAGATATAAATGTAAGTATTTTTTAGTGCGGCTAGATCACTCGCTTGTTAGATTTTTAATAGTTAACAGACACCTTAGACTGTGTTAGTATCAATATGATATTTTTTTTATGTGGCACATTCTGAGGTTATTGTTGGCTAACAAGGACTCAACAAACAACAGCCGCATTAGGTCAAGTTAAATTGCTTGTGTATTTTTTGACAATTTGCTTTTTTTGTACTTTGTTTTTGTAGTTGGTCTGATGGGTTTACCCATATGAAAGTACCCGAAACAACCAAATTAAAAGTTCTTGTGCTATACTTTCTGAATTTAAAAATATCAATCCGATTTAAATCAAATGAGATAGGTATATAAAAAATTAGAATTAACACATAATTCTGCTTTTTTTTTGTAAAAGATTGGCTTTCTTGCCGACTTTACAATTCAGGTCCCTCCACATAAGATCAGGTAGTTTCCAGATAGACGGTTGCGGCAAGTGTAGAAGGTATCAAATTCTGGCCCTATTTTCTTCCGCCATGCCAAAGTATACTTATACTTTTTTGTAGACGATTCTTTCCTGGAGTTAGTTGCGGTGAAAGGTGATCCCGATAGGTCACTTCACTCAGGCCCCTTGTGCATCCCTCCAGATGCCATTCCATCCGGACTATCGCCCAGTCTAAATTGTTGAAAAAGGAGGAGATTTAAGCCAGACAATAAATAAACGGCTAATCTTTCCTAAGTGAAGTCGACTGGCGTGGATATAGTGGGGATATTATAACTCTATAACTTTCAAAAAAAAGTTATACCTATTGCTTCTCTAAAAATTTGTGTTTAGGTACCTATTCGAAATTTATCTATTCGACACATTCGATGTTCATTAACTTATCAAATAAAATTGAAAACAACAAGCGTTTTATTTCACTCAGTTTTCGACCCAGAAAAAGTTAAATGGACATTTTGTTTAATCAGCGAAACAAATCCTAATTGGTGACTGTATAAAAGGTTCGAAAATAAAAAAAAAAGGCTCCAAACTCCAAACAAATTCACGCTGGACTTGACGCTATTCAAAATCTAATTTGAAATAGTGCATTGTTTAAAATAGCAAATATTTATGCAACTTAATGGCCGAGAGTAAACTTTTTTTTTTCGCACAGAACAAGTAGAGTTCGATCATCAAGCATAAATCAGCTAGAGGAGTTTGAATACATTTTTATTTTTTGGTCGTGAAGTGTAGAAGCGAAGTCAGAGAGATGTTTGTATCAGATTGGTGCCACAGTATAGAAATATAGAAAGTAAGGACATGTCACCTCAGTATTGAAGAAGTCGTATCTACACCGGTGAGTGTCCAGTGAGTTGGGAGTCGTTTATTTGGATAGTTTTGAGTTTGTGCACGGTATAATTAGTGGTTTTGAAAACTTAGTTAGTTAAGAGGCCAACAACAAGCTGTTAAAAAAGGGTTGATTTCCCGAAACGAGAACACACTTATTTTGTAATATTTTTTGACCGGATTAGAAAATAATAAAAGATAAAAATCTAAAGAATAGTGCTGTTGTTTTGGTTTTTCGAAAAAAAAAAATTGCAAATTGAAAATATCACGACCTAAATACTCGAAAAAAAGCATCATTTCTATCCAAACCCATCGCTTGTTTTAAAAAAATGAAACAAGAGCATTGTTCTAAATTTTATTATCTTTTCGAATCTTCTTGATTCACTAAAAAATATTAAGTAGTTTTTGAGATCTCGTCTCAAATTGTAAGCCCTGCAAACACGGAAATTCAAAAATTTTGGCTGCAGCGAGGTGCTGCCTCTGGCGGATTTAATTTCGCACCGGGGTAAGTAAAAATTACACAACGCGAGAGGACTGCGAGGCCAGTTATTAGTTTGTGTAAATAATTACGGTGAATATATTTCATAATGAACTCAAAACGAACAAAGATAACTTTACTAGAATTCAATAAACGGAAAAGGATATCATATAGCATAGTTAAATACAGTTAGTACGTGAAGGTTAGGAATAAAATTCATCAGAAATACAAGGTTGATTTTTTTTTCAAAAAATCTCGGATACGTCGATTTTTGATTTTAGTGGCCGTTTTTTTGATGAGAATTTCATACATTTGTCAAAACTGACATACCAACAATAAACTAACATGTTTTGATTGTTGATTTGAACCAATCAGATTGGAATTACGTGATAATTTATATTAGTGTAAATTATTGCATAGTAACTAATGCGAGAACTGGTGTTTCGACAAAAAATTTGAATTTTTGATTCATGAAAT